TTTGGTTATTTCTCACCCTAGGGTGTGTGTGTGTGTGTGTGTGTGTGTATGTGTGTGTGTGTGTATATATATATATATATATATATATATATATATATATATATATATATGTATATGTATATATATTGATTTTTAGGGAGAGTGGAAGAGAGAGGGAAAGACAGAGAGAAGCATCCATGTGAGAGAAACACATCAATGGGTTGCCTCCTGCACCAGGGCCCGAGCCAGGGAGGAGCCTGCAACCAAGGTCTGTGCCCTTGACTAGAATTGAAGCCGGGACCCTTTGGTCTGCAGGCTGATGCCCTATCCACTGAGACACACTGGCCAGGGCAGGAAGGTCACCCTTTGAGGTTGAAACTAACCAACCTGAAAATAAATGGAGTGCCTTCAGGGAGTCTGAAATAATCCCTGGTTATCATGCACCCGCAGCGGATGGCATAAAACTATCATCCCGCGGGATAGCCAAACGATCCCACAAAATCTGTCAGGAAAATGGAAATAAAGCCATATTCTAGAGAAAAAGAGATATCACTTGGGCTTCAACATAAAATAATGCAAGAAAAAAAAAAAAAGAACAAAAAAATGTTCTAAAATCTTTAGGGGGTTGGGTAGGGTTTGGGAAAGCAGCCGACACTGAACACTTATTAAATCAACAGGCAATACTTTATTGGGGGCTTGACTGGGAAAATGAGAATTTTAATCACAGAAGCAATTTGTGGCTTTAGATGCCGCTTCGTGTTAATAAGCAAAGGCGTTTGTGCTCCAATGCGATGTTTGTTAATATGTTTACTGAAGTGATGAGAGTAATTGCAGCCTTTGAAAAGCGAAGAATGTCTGGATTTGCATATTCCATAATTTAGCCAAAAATAACTAGTTAGGCTTCCGCAGTTATTGCTGGAGATATAAATGAGTGTAACGGTGATGCTGTGTTTTAAAAATTGAGTTTTTGACCATGTTTTATGACACTGGTTCCTAGTTGTCCTGTGTTGATAAATGTAAACATACATTTGAAGCAATAAAGAGAGATTACAGCACCACTGGGATTAAAAACAAGAGTTGGGTTTCCATAGTTACGGCCCCGTTCCAATTGGTCAGTGACTGTCTTAGTGGATCCCAGGAGGCAGGAGAGGGTGGAGGTTGGCTATTTCTATGTTTCCTGCGACCAGTTCAGGTAGCAGACCCCTCATTCTCCTCTTACGAGGCCACACCTCCCGGGCCCCAGGCCTGGGCCTCAGAATGTCCCCTCAGGCGCCAGTGGTCAGCCGGTCACCCCTCCCGTCCCCACTCAGAGACTCCAGGAAAAGAACCCCCCGAGGAAGCCTTTTCTGACCGAGACCGGCCCGGTGCATTTCTCCCAGGCTGACTGCTGGCAGCATCGCTGTGTTTTCATTCCACATGTTCCTGACGTGACTGGAACCTTCCAGGGCGCAAACAGGGAGAGGCCCTTTTCTCCTGCCCATGCCAGTTGGGAGTCTCAGGCCGCCCCCTGCTCACCTCCGGGAGCCACCTCTGTCCCCTCATTGCAAAACAGAAGATGCCCCAAACTTAAGAGCATCCGGATTGCTGCCGACCTTGAGCCTGCCTCCTGACCTAACCCCAGACTCCCTGTTTTCTCCCTGCCCTTTCCCCCCAAATCTGGCTGCAGTTCCCTTGGGGACAGCACAGCCAGCGGCCCATCTCCAGCAGAACCCAATGTGAAAACAGCCCACGTGGCCACCTTCAGCATTCAGACTTGTTTTCTGTGGCCGAAAAGCAGACATAAGCAGCGGGCCTCTATTAATTACATTAAAAATAGCTGGCAGTTAACTGGTTAAAAGCTCACGCTCTGTTTTCTTCTATAAATATCTGGTGTCCAAAGAAATAAGGACAATGACAGGCTATGTCTGGGTTTCTCAAGGCAGTACTTCCTGCTGTTTTCAAGCCTAATTAATCTACCCATTTCGAAATGCCCGAAGGACTAAGTCCTGTATCTTGACAATTCTTCAGTTGACACATTTGTCGTCACATGATTCAGAAGGCAAATGCCAGGGAATGGAACTTGACGGACAGCAGGGAAACAGCCCGCCCACGAGGCCGCACTCGCCGGAGTCTCTGTGCTCCCAGAGGCCTCTGCCTCTCAGGGAGAAACACATGGAGGCGTTTTCAACAGGTCAGAATGTCCTAGAAAAATGCTGGGAAAATTATTACCAGGATCACGTCTGGCTCAGTTGATTCGTTCCTATTTCCCCAAGAGAGGACAATATGTACGAAGTCTGAAGAACGAATCCAGCTCGCAAAATGCTGGATTCCTGTCTCTTTCATCAGGTCTGACACCTTCCCCATTTCTATAGGGAGAGGAGGAGGCAGAGAGACAACATCACCGCCTCTGCCAAGGCTGCCCAGGAGCCTGGTATTGTGCTGCTGAAAGCACACAGTAGGTGCTCAATACTCCGGCTGATGGATATCAGTGACCTTGCAAAGCTTCCAGATGCAAAAAATGCAAAGGCCCTAGCCGGTTTGGTTCAGTGGATAGAGCGTTGGCCTGAGGACCAAAGGGTCCTGGGTTTGATTCCGGTCAAGGGCATGTACCTTGGTTGCAGGGTCCTCCCCAGCCCAGGGCCCTGGTCAGGGCTCATGCAGGAGGCAACCAACCAATTGATGCGCCTCTCTCACATCAGTATTTCTCTCTGTCTTTTCCTCTCTCTTCCACTCTCTCTAAAAAAATCAATGGGGGAAAAAAATCCTCAGGTGAGGATTAAAAAGCAAACAAAACACTGCAAAGATCGCCTGGCTGGCATAGCTCAGTGGTTGAACGTCGACCTATAAGGCAGGAGGTCACAGTTCAATTCCCAGTCAGGGCACACACCCCGGTTGCAGGCTCGATTTCCAGTGTTGGGCATGCACAAGGCAGCTAATCAAGGATTCTCTCTTATCATTGATGTTTCTAACCCTCTCTCCCTTTCCCTTCCTCTCTGAAATCAATAAAAATATATATTTTTAAAAAATACAAAGGTGGGTCTTCTGACCTCCTGCTGACCCAGTTGCCATTGACTGTTGGCATCAACTATTTACATGACTTAACTGAGCGGAAGCTCGGGGAGTGACACAAATACTTTAAATTTGTGATCTGCAAACTGTGGCTCGAGAGCCACATGTGGCTCTTTGGCCCCTTGAGTGTGGCTCTTCCACAAAATACCACAGCCTGGGCAAGTCTATTTTGAGGAAGTGGCATTAGAAGAAGTTTTAGTTTAAAACTTTGGCTCTCAAAATAAATTTTAATTGTTGTACTGCCGATATTTGGCTCTGTTGACTAATGAGTTTGCTGACCACTGCTCTAAACAGTCAGCCGTTATTGATACGGCCACAGTGGGCTCGCTCTGTGGGACTCGGGAGAGCTGTGCCAAGCCAACTGATTCTGTAAACAGTTTGGAGACGAATGCTCTCAGCACTGAGAGAACGTTCCCTCTGAGCCTGCCACTGTCTCCTGGCTCCTCCCACGGAAGCAGTGCATGCTGTTCATACATGATTCATTTCTGCATGAAAGCGGGTCCCCTTAGTACCCCTAGAGGTCAAAATGCTAATTCCAGGATGTTTAATACAGTAAATACCCAACCTATCCAAGGATCCACCATCACCCCAAAATGTCCGCACGTATTTTTATCTTAAGGAGATCGAAGACAAGAGGGTTAGTCTTTCTCTCCGTATACCTTTCTGTGGTATTAGAAGTCATTTAGTGAACAGGTGTTATCTCTATAATCAGAAAAATATAGACTTTTACATGAAAAAAAATATAACTAATTAAGTGTGTTTTCCTCTTCAAGGGTAAGCAGACTGATCTTGGTAAGATTGTATTTTATTCTGTATGTACTGAACCTTCAAACACGCCCCAGGAAAATGGTAAAAGAAGGTCAGACACTGAAGGTCCTTTTTTTAAAACTAGGATTCCCAATGCCCTTTCTTATTTTTTTAAAAATTGAATGTAGCTGGGCGACACTGGTCAACATGAACACACAGGTGTCAGGTGTGGGAGTCTATGTTCTGTATTTTGCACTGTGTGCCCACCACCCAGAGTCAATCATCTCCTGTCACCTCATATGAGAGCCCCTTCTCCCCCTACCCCCTTCCCTGGGGCAACCACCCCACTGCCGTCTGTGTCCACAAGTCTCAGCCTTATAGCCCACGTGAGTGAAGTCACGTGGTTCTTAGCTTTTCTGACTTATTTCACTTAGCATGATGTTCTCAAGGTCTGCCCATGGTGTTGCAAATGGTCGTATGTCCCCCTTTCTTGTGGCCGAGCAGGATTCCATTGTGAACACGGACTACATCCTTAGACATGGGATTCCATCCCAGGATGCTGCTGGATGCCTGGTCCCAGCATGCACTTCACATGGCACGATGGGTCAGGAGGAAGCCACTGGGCATGGGGGGGGGGGGGATTCTGCAGTTCTTCTCTTCACTCAGAAACAATCCCCTGCATGCCCCCCCCCCCAGATGGGCATGAGGCTCTGTGTGCTGGGCCCAGCACTGACACCTCAGGCCTGCTGAACCCCAGCTGAAACCACAGGCCTGCTGAACCCCAGCTGCACCACAGTGGCATGTGTCTCTTCCAGCCGTGAACACGTGGCCTCCAAAAATTCAGTCCCACATCAATTCTTGTTTGTTTGTTTATCCTCACCCAAGGATAATTTTCCCATGGAATTTTTTAGAGACTGGAGGGAAGAGAGGAGTGCAGGGGAGGAAGGGAGAGAAGGAGGGAGGGGGGGGGGAGAGAGAGAGAGAGAGAGAGAGAGAGAGAGAGAGAGAGAGAGACATTGATGTGACAGATCAATTGACACATCAATTGACTGCCTCTTGCTCGCACCCCGACTGAGGCCAGGGATGGAGCCTGCCACCATGGTCCGTGTCCTTGACTGGGAATCACACCTGTGACCCTTCGGTCCGCAGGCCAATGCTCTAAGCACTGAGCCACACCGGCTGGGGCCACAACCTCCTTCATGTGCGTTTCCGACTCCGCGCCCTACCTGTAATGAGGGGCAGGGTTGCCTCTGGCTTCGCAGTTGAACGTGACTCTCTGGTCCGCAGCACCGACGGGGGCCATGCTGTCTCGGGGCTCACTGACGAACACGGGGCCGTGGAAGAGCAGCTCCCCTGTGGGTGGGAGACAGCGAGGGCAGCCAGGGTGAGTGGGGGGTGGGAACGCTGAGCTCCAGCCGCTCTCCTCTGCTCCGAGCAGCCCTGCGCTGACCATGTAGGCGCCAGGGGTGGTGGACAAGCTACTGCCCACCGCCTGGTCTCAGAGCCGAAGGTGGAAGCCAGTGCCACGTGCCCTGCCCCGGGCTGGCGGGTCCCCACCACACAACACGGGCTCCCTGGCAGCGGGGTCTGGGGTCTGAGGGTTGCTCTATAAAGACCTTTACCAAAATATTTTTAAAATGGGGAAAAAACACATGGACGCCCTGTACATAATGTATCATATCACTCCAGTCGCCCTTACCAACCCTTGTAGCTTTTTCAGCACCGTACCCCAAGGATCAAGGTGGCCTTCCAATTTTCTAATAAACTCTTACTATTTTAGTAAAATGGATCCTGGGTTTTCATACATTCATTCATAAACCTATACAAGATTTCCCCCCAAAAAATGCTGAGAGCAATTAATTCAATTTGCACGTCGTATAAAATTACAATTCAACCTCTTAAAGCTTCGAGGGACTGACCTTTCTCCTCAGTGACCCCTCCCCTTCCTGAGTGAACCTCCCTGTTTCCCATTAGCTGGGAGCTTCAAGCTTGTTCTCTAAAAACTGAACCTCCAATGCTATCAGCACTGAGGTCCCTTCACTCTCATCTTCCTCCTCCTCTACCAGAACTCAAGAGGGAGACTTTGTCCATGGAGAATGTCATCCAAGAAGAACACCTTTTTGATACCTACATTCCATTTTCTCCAAAGATCAAGAATCTGGAATTACTCCTTTTCCCCTAAGGAAGGGCTACATCAGTGGTCAGCAAACTCATTAGTCCACAGAGCCAAACATCAACAGCACAAAGACTGAAATTTCTTTGGGGAGCCACATTTTTTAAACTTAAATGTCTCCTAATGCCACTTCTTCAAACTAGACTCCCCAGGCCGTGGTATTTTGTGGAAGAGCCACACTCAAGGGGCCAAAGAGCCCATGTGGCTTGAGAGCCGCAGTTTGCCGACCACGGTGCTAAATGAATAGTTGTTTCAGGAACAAAACTGAGATGTCACGGGGGAAAATCTGTTTAGAAAGAAATCCTTTAACATAAAAGTTGGCAGTTTTTGTTTCATTTAAATATTTGAAGGATGTTTGAAATTTGATATAAGGGCTTAAAAGTCTACTTCTGGTAACGTGTGTTTTACAGCTGACATGTTTGGCCTCATTACACAGCGATGCCCTCATCTAGGTGGGAAACTGGGCAAGGCTGGGTCAGCTCCAGGAAATGGTGTTTATGGAGAAAACTGGTCTTCTCAGGAGATGGGTGCTGAAGTTTTTAGGGGTGAGAGGCGATGACTTCGGTAACTTACTCTCAAAGGCTTTAGCTGATCAATCAATCAACAACAACAAAAAAATACATCCACCTATGTTCACAAATAGAGCAAACACAGTGAAATGGCCCAGCAGTTCAATCTAAATGATGTGTGTGTGGGTGTCCACCATCCTATTCTTTCAACTTGAGAGGCGCTGGAGAATTTTCACAGTGAGAAGAATGAAAATTTTGAAAAACCTATGTGTTATACATATATTAATTTTTAAAATCTTCTCTTACTTATCCATTCCTTCAGAAAACAAAACAAAACGAACAAAAAAAATACATCAAGTGATCTATAAGAGCTGTTTTTGTACAGTAGATATCTGGGAAAATTATTCCTTTTTCTTTCTGTTTTATTCTGAACTTCAGATTTCTCAAGTTAACAAATAAAGAGCCTATGTTTATTTCTGCTCCCTGAAATAATTTATCTAAAAGGAAAACTGTTGTTTTCAAGATGAGATATAAAAATACCGGCTTTCTTTAAAATTTATATTCGCTCGTCACACTGGAGATTATAACTTTTAGCTCCTTTTGGAAAAAAAATATTCATGAATGAACGTCTGCAAATTCTGATTAACTGTTGCATTCGCCTGCTACAGGAGACTCATGACATAAGAAGGCATAAAACACTGAGCCAAAATCAGGGGCTGAAATGAGAATCTGACAGTCAGAAGAGAGTATTTGAATTGTCCTTCTGAAAACAAACAAACAAAACAAACCAAAACTGTTGTTCCTTGCTACTGGAGGAGTATTACTCCACAGTTAAAAATTATTGACTATATGATTCCAGTATATTTCTAACCTCAACTTGGAAAAGACAGCTTAGTTTTACCTCCCAGGCAGCCAATGAATGACAGCAGGACCATCTGTTTCCATGACAACAGCATCTTTAATTGCCCACAGGGAGGAACTCTGGTCCAGTCTCTGATGAACAGGGTGCTTTATCTTCAGGTAAACCCTTAATCTGTAAAATATATGTACGAAGAAGTTAGGCTTGAAAAAAAAACGAGTTGCCTTAAAAAATACATTTCCTCCTCCTCCTAAAACTCTATGCCACTCAGAACCCTCAGAGGAAATGCACCTTTTTTGGATGCCATAGAGGAGATGTATGAAACGTAGAGACGTTAAAAAAAAACAAAACACTCTATGTAACTGAGAGGCAGATGGAAGTGGCTTCATAAAATCAGAAGTGTTCAACACCGAAATATTAAATATTAATATGTCAAATATTAAAACGTTGGCGAGATGATAATTACAGCAATTATAACCCTGGCATTCCAACTCTCCTCATTTTGTCCAATGATGACATGCTGGGAAGACTACGAGGGTCTCATGTACAGACACCTCAAGGCATTGGGCATCTTGGTCCCCGGTCCATGGTGAGGCATGGACCCCACTCCTGCCACCTCAGGGCAAATGCCTGGCTAGCAGGAGTTCCAGAATCCTGCTCTCTGATTGGTCTGTGCCCATGACCTACATATCTTACCTAATAATAGATAAATATGTAAATTGACCATACCTCCTCCACTACACCCATAGCCAATCAGAGTATGCAAATTAATCCAACAAAGATGGCAGGTTAATTTGCATATGCAGGCACAGAGTGGCCAAGAGGGGCAGGATACCTGTTATGAGGGGGAGGGGAGATGGTGGAGGGAGCTACAGGAGTAGCGCTCTGGACAGAAGCGAGGACTTGCCGGCTCCCAGGCGGCTGGAAGTGAAGCCTATTCTTTTTTAAAAATATATATATTTATTGATTTTTCCACAGAGAGAAAGCGAGAGGGACAGAGAGCTAGAAACATCCATGAGAGAGAAACGTCAACCAGCTGCCTCCTGCACAACCCCTACCGGGGATGTGCCCGCAACTAATGTACATGCCCTTGACCAGAATCGAACCTGGGACCTTTCAGTCCGCAGGCCAACGCTCTATCCGCTGAGCCAAACTGGTTTTGGCAGAAGGCCGATTCTTGCATGAATATCATGCAGCGGGGCTTTAGCAGGTCAGTATTTCAGCAAAGCCCCTGTGACTCAGGTGCTGACGGCTTGCGGTGAGAGCAAAGGCCACAGGCGAGGCTGCGGATGGCGAAGGTGTGTGCGTAGGCGATGCGGCTGCAGGTGTACAATGGGGCGGCGGCAGCGGGGGGGGGGGGGGGGGGGGGAGGGGTGCCTCAGATGCCGGGCTAAGGGTGCTGGTCTCAGGGCAAAGCCCGGGGAAAGTCATTGTGTTTGGAACCAGGAGTTGACACGATCAGACTTGCAAGGGGCGGGTTATTCACACCAGACGCACTGTCATCTGTACCAGGCGCAAGAGAATAATAAGAAACCACACTTCCCAAGCACACCCACTTTATCTTTCCCTTCCGACTCACAGGCGCACAGCCAGGAAACATTAGGCCAATGGTGGTCTGATATCAGAGAGGAAGGAGGGACATTCTAACATTCCCATATAAGCACGCACACAGGCATACACTGTATGAAGTTTGGAGATAAAAAAAAAAAATAACTCCTTCAGGAACGTTATATCTAAAAAGTACGCTGCTCCTTTCATCACCGCCAAGCAGGGTGCTGCCGTGATACACAACGAAGGCAACGAAGGCAATCAGGGCCCGGGGTGCTCCCCATTGCTAAAGAGACATGACCCCCTCCCCCTCCGGAAGCCACCGAGCCAAAATAATGACAGAGGAAGCCCCAAGAGCAGGACACACACCAATCAAAATGCCATCTGCTCTCCAGCTTTCATGGGATCGTCTCCAATGAATGAGAAAGCAGCTGGTAGCCTTCAGGATGTTCTCTGCTCGTAGACGCCTGCATCGGGAGCAGAGGGTTACGATATCCACAGCACGTGCCCACGGCCGGCTGGAAATAGCTCCCCACGTGGGTGCGTATTGACCATGGCCCTGTCCGTCCTTAATGCCAGTCAGCTGAGGGCCGAGCGTTGCCAGGCCTCGGACCCAAAGCCAAAAAGGCTCGAGCACAGTTCCTGTGTTTGCTCTAAAAGACCATCTGCGGCTTTCGTCGCATGGATTTAGAGGCCGAGAAGATAATAGGTCATGAAATATGGATACGCATCTGTAATAGGAAACGTCTGCGGGCAGCGCTGAGTGCGGCCTGGCCAACGCTCCGGCCGCTTCCTTTCCCGGGAAGTTCCGTCCAGCTGTTCTGTCGAGTGCGGCCTCCTTTCTCCCAGACGCACAGGCACCGGGTGCGCTTCTCCTTTCCCGAGCCAAACAGGACAGAGGTTCACGCGGAAGGACGGCCGCACACCTGTCTGGGAGCCACAGAACGTCTCCTCCGACTTCACACGGGAGAAACAGACGCCGCTCTGGAGCTGACATTGTGCCCACGACCGCACACCCGCACTCCCTGCTCTGCAAGCATCGCTCTCAGATCCATGTTTCTCTCTCTCTCCCTCTCCCCCTTCCTCACTAAAATCAATAAAAAGCATATCTCTGGTGAGGATTAAAAAAAGAAGTAACTTGTACCCCCCCCCCAAAAAAAAATTGTGCATAACCCACGGGAGGCAGAATAAATTGTGGTTAAACATGGTGTATGTGTCTATGTGTGTACACATGTATGTGGCATAGATACATACATGCACACATACTGTTGTATAACCTTGGGCAAGTTGCTTGTTCTTCTTTTTTTTTTTTAATATATTTTATTGATTTTTTACAGAGAGGAAGGGAGAGGAATAGAGAGTGAGAAACATCGATGAGAGAGAAACATCGACCAGCTGCCTCTTGCACATCCCCAGCACCGGGGATGTGCCCACAACCAAGGTACATGCCCCTGACCGGAATCGAACCTGGAACCTTTCATTCCACAGACCGATGCTCTATCCACTGAGCCAAACCAGTTTGGGCAAGTTACTTGTTCTTAAACCTCCTCTGCCCTCAGGCCGGTGTGGCTGCTGCAGAGCGGGGCGGTGAGTGTGGGTGTAAGCGCTCTCATGTGCGGAGAAGGAGGGGGACTGTCCGCTGAGCCGGCCCCTGGAGTGGAGACAGGATGTCCCCGCGGCTGTTGTGCAGAAATTAAATACGACGGGCACCTGGCTGCGGGTAAACAAGACTTCAACGAAGGAGGCGCTGAAAAGGCGGGTCTCCCACTCGTTTTAAAGAGACACCGGCTGCGCCCTTGTTCTGCTTCACTGTGTGTTCTCTGAAGTTTTGTTTTATCACAGCGAACGGAGTGACACTGACACCTCTGGGAATGCTAATCACGGCGATGCACAGCTACAAGCTTGGGACTCACACCTATTAGGGGTGTAACACCTCCCCTTGATCAACACAGAGGCGTGAGTCTAAATGCAGGCAAGCTGTGAATGTATCCCACAGTATGGATTTCAGCGGAGGAGACAGACCCTCTTTACCCCCCTCTCCTTCTCCCCCCCTCACACACAGGGGCACAGCTCTGGCTGTTTTCCTGCAAACAAGCAATGCTTCAGGAGAAACCCTTGGCGCACAGGATGGGGGCTCAGGCTGCCAGCCTGCAAGGAATAACAGGGCGCAGGGCGCAGGTCACAGAGGCACTGCCACAGGGAGGGGGAGGGCGGTCCCTCGGGGCACTGTGAGCCCAGGGCCTCCAGGCGCCCCGAGTTTTCAGAAGACCCCGGACATGCAGAGCTTTATAGGGGGTGTCCCGGTTTCCTACGCAACCCATTTATGGATTTTTTTTACGGAGAGGAAGGGAGAGGGATAGAGAGTTAGAAACATCCATGAGAGAGAAACATTGACCAGCTGCCTCCTGCACACCCCCTACTGGGGATGTGCCCGCAACCAATGTACCTGCCCTTGACCAGAATCGAACCTGGGACCTTTCAGTCCGCAGGCCGACGCTCTATCCACTGAGCCAAACTGGTTTTGGCTCAAGCAACCCATTTAAACCAAACTTCAGAACAGGTGTGCGGACCACACCAAACACACCTGCGATCCGGACACCATCTGCCCGGGAGCGTCTGGCCAAATGCATGTTCCTGCTTAAAGAAGCCTGAACGGCTCCCTTCCTCTCTGACATCAATAAAAATGTATTTTTTTTTAGCTCTAACCAGTTTGGTTCAGTGGATAGAGGGTCAGCCTGCAGACTCAAGGGTCCCAGGTTTGATTCCGGTCAAGGGCATGTACCTTTGTTGCAGGCACACCCTCAGTGGGTGGTGTGCAGGAGGCAGCTGATCGATGATTCTCTCTCTCTCGATATTTCTAGCTCTTTATCCCTCCCCTTTCCTCTCTGTAAAAAATCAATAAAAAAATAAAAAGAAATAAAAAAGAACCAACAGACAGGATGTGACTGTGAGAAGTGCCAGATGGGTAGCTGGGAGGGTCCCAGGCCACCCAGAGCAAAGGAAGCAGCCGCTGGGGTTCAGACAGCTTTGCTCACTTGTCTTTTTGTTTTTCATGTTGGCGACTCATCTTATTTTAATCCTCACCCTGGGGTATTTTTCCCCATGGATTTGTAGAGAGTGTGAAGGGAGGGGGAGACAGAGAGAAACATAAATGTGAGAGAGACACTTCGACTGGCTGCCTCCCTCAGGTGCCCCAACTGAGGCCAGGGATGGAGCCTGCAACCCAGGTCTGTGCCCTTGACTGGGGACCAAGGCCAGACTGGTCAGTGTGCAGACTGGTGCTCTAACCACTGAGTCACACTCGCTAGGGTAGCAAATGTTGCTTTTTGAAACACAGGCCTGGTCTAACAACACTAGCCCAGATGTGGCCTGCAGGGATGGGAGAGGAACAGCCAGCCACAGGAGCCCAGGCTCTCTTTGGCGAGTTGTTCAGATAAGGTTACACCTGCTGTGCTCACCTCCTGCCTGGCCACTCGGGCAGGCCTCCCGCCGGCCGCCCGCAGCCCATCCCCGAGCAGGGCCCACGGAGGCGCCACACAATATGTGTTGAATCCATGAACATCTGATTTAGGGCTGGAGCTGCCACAGTTGGCCCCGCATCACACCATCTGGGGAGCGAAACAAAA